CCTACGCACATACCCAACTACCCACACACCCCACCTCCCCACACTTCCTCCCACACCTGCCCCCCCCACATGCTTCCCAAAATATACAAGTAAGACTTTATTTTGAGCTACTATGCAATTGCCTTTATATTCACCACTCAAAAAAGCATAAATCAGGATTAAAATAATTTTTTGAAACAAAATTAAAATGTTATAGTAGATGTTTGATTTTTAGTATCTGACTTGTGTTTTATATAATTTGTTAAAATGATATCTTCTGAAAGACTTTATATGGGCACCCTTGACAGCTCACCAAAACTCGTTAAGTGGCCCTCTAGTCAAAATAATTGCCCACCCCTGCATTAATCCTGTATTAGAAAGTTGTAGACTAGAGCCTGCTAATCTGTATCTGTTAATACATTCAGGAAAATGCAATGGTTGTGCCTCTTATCAGATGATAGTTAAAATGATTTTGACTGAACATACACTACCTATTACCATCGTTTCATGCCTCATTAGTGTCAACCAAGTTTTTATTTGTGTTTGCAGCTCAAATAGAGAGAAACAGAACAGGGAAATAGTGAAGATCACTTTGGAAAACCAGAGAATTCTGAAGAAACTTGGTAGCCTCAAAGCTACTTATGATCGTAGGAAGTATGAGATTGATTGGCAGGTATGTGCAATAGTTTTATTCTTGAAAAAGCTTTTTTCTTTTTGTGCTCAAACCAAACAAAATGTGGGAGAAGAGTCAGCTGATCTTAGTTTCCCAAACCAAAATCAATAGGATCAACTGCTAGTTGCACAGTGAAGTACAAAGAAAGATTGGCTAATAGGAAATTGGGAGGTAGTTCTCTAGATTAATGTCTTGACAGAGTTATTAAATGAAAAGATCTCCTTCTCCATCATGTTGATTGGCTACTATATAAAATGGTGGAATCTAAGTAAATGCCTATCTAAATGAGTCAAGAAGTTTTACATATTTTATTCCAACAATCTCAATGAATATGACACATCTTATTAAAAAGACAAGGCTAATGGCTGATAATTTAGATAATTCTGACTAGAGTGAGTGAGTGAAGAGACTAGACTAATCCCATTAATAACTCACCAGTGCACTGATTGAACATAAGTACTGAAAGAAGAGGATGTATATGTGCAAGAAAAAAGGATCAAAACTAGATGTGTACTTGCCTTGACTCCATTAATAACAGTCACTTTAATGGTTAATCCTTTATACTGACAAACCCATGTGCTCTGTTCTTTCTGTGGCAGAACTCAAGGTGCTATATCCGGAACACTTCTCGGTATCTTATCTCTTCTCGGGATGGCTAGGTAGGCAATTTTGCTGCTGATTTTTTCACAATATAAAATGGGATGCAGCTACCATATTCCTTAACTGTGGATAATATTTATACACCATACCTCAGAGAATGATTAACTTGAATAACTTACAAAACTCGGGATTTCAGAGTGCCGTGGTAGTTTGCATTTAAATGTGGCATCTGCTGAAACAACCGCCATTTGTCAGGTGTGCAGGAGGTGGACATAGGATTTGGATCAGGGGTGAGCAAAATATGGCCTGCAGGCCGGATTTGGCTTGCAGAGGGGCTTTGTCCGACCTGCAGTGGGTTCCCTGGTTCTGCCTGGCCCAGGCACCACCCAGCCATGATGCAGCCAGCTGTCCCTGGTCACACAGCAGGGCTGGGACGGCTCTGCGGCTGTGCAGCCCAGGCAGCAGTGGCTCCTTCTGGCTGCTGGTGGCCCCAGGCCCACAGTACCAGCGGGGACCCACACGCAGAGCCCCGACCTGGTGCTTCCTGTGCCTGCTCTGGACTCACCCAACCACTGCAGTGGCAGCAGTGGTGGCACCAGGCAGAAACTCTTGCCTGGTGCAAGGGAAAAGCAGCCCCTTCCCCTCACCAC